CTCTTATGGCTTCTGTAGGCACGCTGTACAACACAGATACACTTACATACATGCAGGCTTAACACTCGTACACATAAAAAATGGATAGAGGAAGAAGATATGGGAAAGACTAGATTTCAAGGACACATCCCAGTGAGGGAATGGAGCACTATCACACGGGGCGGCGGGGAGAACACACACACACACACAGAGGGAGAGAGAGAACGCAGAATGTACACACATGGAGAGAGAACAGAGTACACACGGAGGAGGGAGGGAGGGAGAGAGAGAATACAGGACACACGAGAGAGAGAGGAAGGAGGGAAGGAGGATGGGAGGAGGAGGACTTTATCAGTCTCCTCAGCATCTTTTTTAAAACATATTTTATTATTTTTATTTTATGTATATGCGTGTATTGCCTGCATGTAGGTAAGTGCACCCGTGTTGTGCAATGCCCAGAGGTCAGTTTATTTTATGTATATGCGTGTATTGCCTGCATGTAGGTAAGTGCACCCGTGTTGTGCAATGCCTGCAGAGGTCAGAAGAGGCTGTCAAATCCCCTGGGACTGGAGTTACGGACAGTTATTAGCTGCCATGTGGGTGCTAGGATTCGAACCTGGGTCTTCTGCAGAAACAGCCAGTGTTCTTAACCACTGAGCAATCTCTCCAGCCCATCCTCAGCATTTCTAAATCCATCTAGCTGACAAGGAAACTTAACCACCATAGACCTGAAGGCTGCCCATGTCTGCTCACCGTCTACAAGACTCAGACACAACAGCAGCATGCCTCTCTCTGCCTTCCTGTTCACTAAGCAACTTTCTAGTTAACTGATGTTTTGTCCAGGATGCTGTAACAAAATACCTCAGACCAGGTAGCTCATAAACAGAGGTTCTGGTGTATGGTTCATAGGTGGCTCTGTGGTGTGTCCTGGTGACAGAAGGGCAGGCTCCCTCTGACCAGCCTTATAAAGGCACTAGTCCCATTTTGGGAAGTACCATTGTCCTAACCTAATCACCTCTTCATGGCATTACACTGGGGGTTAAGTTTCAGCATGAATTCTGGCGTGGGGCATATTCAGTCCATAGTGGGGAGCTTTTTGAGCAGTATGCTTCTTGGACAAATGTGTACATCTACACATCAACATTCCTGCCTTTGTGAGCCAGTCTCATAGCACCTCTGGCCCTCAGTGGTAACAGCAAGGGAAATGATCAGTGTAGAGCTAGATGCCTTGACATCAAGTCTCAAAAAAGAAAAACAGGACAGGGAAAAGGCAGCTTTAGAAGGAGGTAGATGGAGCCGTCCACTAGCCACATGGGCTGAAAGCACAGTTCCCCAGCCATACTGGCCACATTGTATATGCTTGTAGCCCTGGGCAACTTCTGGATGGGACCACTCAGATACAGAACAGCTTTTGGACAGCATGGCGCTTTAAGACATGAAAGACAGTTTACATACAGTATACAATGTGTCATGCTTACTAACAACACAACAGCAGTTTACATACAGCATACAATGTGTCATGCTTACTAACAATGCAACAGCAACCATGTAGCAAACAGCAAATTCAGACAGGTGGCTGACACACCTTTAAGATGGGCAGATGGGACTAGAGAGATGGCTCAATGGTTAAGAGCACTGACTGCTCTTGCAGTGCACCCGGGTTTGATTCCCAGCACCTACATGGCGGCTACAAATCGTCCAGACTCTCCTCTCTGCTCCCTTGTCCTCACAGACTCTCTTCTCTGCCCCATGCCATGGTTGCCTGGCCAGCAGGCAGCCATAACTCTGGTCAGACACACCTGCACAGGCTGGCCCCTTCCAATCACACACACGTTCCATGTCCCTACTGCTTCTCCAGGCACAGCTACGTCCCTTCCCACGCCCAGCCCCAGAACCAAGCCTAGCCTTGTGCTCCTTGAAGGGGGCAGTTTATCACTTTGTTCCATTCAGCCTGGGAGGCCTGAGACAGCTGTGCTGGGTCAGCGATTTGTCTAGACCAGACAGGAAGCCAGTGGTGCAGGAGTACCCGAAAGCCTGGGCCAGGCGCCAGCCCTCTCCCTGCTGAGGGCTATGGATGTTGGCTGGCTGAGGGCAGTAGTATTTCTGAGGGAAGAGAGGCCTCCGTCGCCACCAGGCTGAGGAGCCAGAGCCTGCTTGGGATTCTGGGTCAGCTAGGGGCAGGCCTCTGGGGTCCCAGGTATGAGATGACGCCCTATCCCCAGAGCCTATCAGACGCCTCTATCCAGGAACCAGGGACCCCAAACCTGGAGGGCAGCAGACCACTTTCTGCCCTTTGTGAGTCACCTGGGACTCTTTCCCCCTGATCACAAGCCACCATGTATCAGTGCTATGGTATGGGCACAGTGAGGATTGGTGGGTAAATGGTTTGCTCAGCCAGGGAGTGGCAGCAGAGTTGGGTAGATCTGACTTGGTTCCACCCTGAACTCCCCTGACCCACTGTCCTCACCTGACTCCTTCCTCTGTTCACCTGTCCCATGTCTCTGGCTCCTCTTTCTCCTTTCCTGTCCTGCCTACAGTAGGAAAGAGGTTACTTAATAAAGTATGTCATGATGGTATTTTATGTGTATGTATGTTTTGGCTGCATGTATGTTTGGGCACAAAACATTCCTACAGTGCCTGTGGAAGCCAGAAGATGGCATCAATTTCCTGAACTGTAGTTACAGTTGGTTGTTAACCACCCTTTCCTTTGGGACTCCCCATTCCAGTCCTTCTCTCTAGGAGGAAAGGATACAGATGACACACCACACGAGAAGCTGGCTTCCAGGGTACCCTGAGGTGTGGACACCATGGCTTCCAGAGGGAGCCAGGTATTCCTCCCAGGATGGCACCCTTGCCCAAGGATGCTCCCCAGTTGGTGCAGCATCATCTCAGGGGTGCTGGAACTGCTTCAGGGAGGAACTCAGAAGGGTCACGAGGTTCCTGCAGATAGGTGTCACCTGTCAGTTTAGAGTGGGGCTGACAGGCAGTGCTGGAGGTGGCTACGGTGACAGGGTAGAGGGGCGTCAGAGGGGACAAGGATCTAGCTGGAGAAAGAGGCTAAGGCAGAAGTAACTCCATATATCAGAATGTGCAAAGTACTATGGGGAATCAGGTTTCTTCAAGCAGTTCACTTTAGGACATTTTCAGAGCTGACAGCTCTGCCCAGCCTTCAGTTTCTGGTACCCTTTCTAAACGTGTGTTTACATGATATTTGTCCCTAAGCTGTCACCCTCAAGAACAATACAAGTCTGTGTTATCCAGGACCTTCAACTCCATATATCATGTCCTTCTGGGGAAAGCTTTTTAAAAATGGGGAGGGAAAAAAATAAAAATAAAAATGGGGAGGGGTACACCTGTGATCCCAGAAGGATCAAAGTTAGAGAGAGGTTGGGTCAGTGAAAGCCTATCTGAGAAAAATTAATCTCCCAAGCCCCCAACTTCATTCATGTGGATAGCCAGCTTTCCTAGTCTTATTTTAAAAGACAGCCCTGGGGCTGGAGAGATGGCTCAGCAGTTAAGAGCATTGGCTGCTCTCGCAGAGGACCTGGATTTGGTTCCCAGTACCCACATGGCAGCTAACAATTGTCTGTAACTTCAGTTCCAGGGGATCTGATACCCTTTTCTGGCCTCCACAGGCACTGCGTGCTCATAGTGCACTTACACACAGGCAAACACTCATATGCAAAAAATAAAAGTAAATAAACCTTGCCAGGTGTGGTGGTGCATGCCTTTAATCCCAGCACTGGGGAAGCAGAGTCAGGTGGATCTCTATGAGTTCAAGGCCAGCCTGGTCTACATAGCTGTCAAAGCTGTAGATTGCTTCGGGAAATGCCAACCTCTGAGCAGCAGCACCCTCTAACTTGTGGACTTGGTATGTTTTTCTTTGTGTCTAATGTCAGCAACATTTTCTAGTTTTCAGTCTGTAAGCTTTTTGCCTCCTTGGTTAAATCTGTTCCTAAGAACTTCATGCCAGGCAGGCACTCTGCCACTGCACTGTGCCCTCGTCCAGCTTCTCCTCTTTTCTGTTGCTAGTGTAACCAGCGTTGTCGTCTGTTTCCTCTTTGCACTATGCACTGTTAGCACATCGGAGCAGCTGGTTTTGCATCCTGCACTGCTGCTGACTTTATTAGTGCTGACAGTTCTTTTGTGTGTCGAACCTAAATTTTGAGTGGATTTTCATTCTTACTTGGAGGCCTAGGCAGGGGCATGTTTTCTTGAAATTCTCTAAGGACATTATAAAGTGGCTTTGAGGGGAGCTGGAGAGATGGCTCAGAGGTTAAAAAGAAACTGCTGCTCTTGCAGAGGGCCTGGGTTCAGTTTCCAGCACCCACACTCATAACTGCCTGCAACTCCAGCTTCAGGGAATTGACTCCCTCTTCTGGTCTCTGAGGGCACTCCACATACATGGTGCACGTACATACAATTCAGGCATATACACATAAATAAACCATTCACTGAGGGTGGGGCTCCAAGCATTCCAGCTGATATCAGGAGTACCAATTCTAGTTCCCTGGCTGGTGAAGGCTGAGGCCTCAGTCCCTTACTCTCATGGTCCTGGTGGTGCAGTGCTCGTGCAGTCTCTGGGTCCCCTTCCCTTCAGTCTCCTCCTCTTGGAGCTCCCACCATAGCACCCCACTCACCCCTCTGCCTTCTGCTCTCTCTTAATTTCAAAAACAGACACATTTTCTGTATACTCAAAGTTAGGGGGCCCAGCACCCTACTCCTGAATGAGTGCCTTAAGCACATGCATTCAGAGGGTACACAAAAGCCCTGTCTCCAGTAAAAGGCCCCACACCAGAGCTGAAGTAGGAAACACCTCAGACCTCCTCCCATGACAAGTGGTCTGTTCATGAGCCTGGGAGCCGTCAATACCCTGTGAGGGGTGATATTCTACCATTGCTGAAGACCTAAGATGTGCCAACCATCCTTTGGGCCACTGCGAGTGCAGTATTTGTCACTGAGTGACCCTGCAGGCTGGGGGTGGGCATTTAATGTTTCTGTCACCGATCTCATTCTTCCAGAAACAGAGAAATGCGCAGGACCTGGATTCAGACTTAGCTGGTTCCAGCAATGCAGCATGTCATCCTCTCTGCCCTCCCAGCACCACAGCTAGCTTCCTCATCTTCTTCAGTCTTGTGCAGGCAGATCTGTGTGAGTCCTTCCTCTGCAGGTCCTCAGCACCTAGCAGGTGTGAGCAAGGTGCTACTACCACAGTTCTGCAGCTGTTCCTGTGATTTTGCCCCTTGGGGCTCTGTCTACACCTTGGGAGGGACCGCAGAGCTCACACAGCTCTTGGCCGGAGCCCCCGTTACTGAGAGAAAGGAGGCTGTTGCCAAGGACTCCGGGGGAGTGGACTCAATGCTGGTCGGGACCCAAGGCACCCAGCCCTCCTGGAGACATTGTGTGAGCCGGGCTGGGCCTCCAGATGCAGCCCCTGCTGCCCCACCCCAGCCAGGGTGGTGCTTGTATGAGGACTTTAAATCCAGTCACCAGCCCCCTGATCAGGAGAGGCAGAGGGGGCTGGCCACCATGCACAGCTCCTGCAACTTCCAGGCACTGCTGCTACCACCGCTGCTACTACTGCTGCTAATGGCTGCTACAGGTCCCACCAGAGCCCTCACAGAGGATGAGAGTCGGACCATGGTGGAGCTGCACAACTACTACCGTGCCCAGGTGTCCCCGCCTGCCTCGGACATGCTGCAGATGGTGAGTGTGGCTGGGTGTGGCCTCCTGGAATTGAAGGGGTGTTAGGAACTTTCCTCCTCACTCCATTCCCTATAGAGATGCTACCTCAGACTCCTGTCTTTGGTCAGTAACAGAGTCCCTGGAGTTATCACGGGTCCTCATAAGCAATCCCATTACCCAGATGAGGCTCAAAGGGATTTTCACAGACTTAAGGCCTGGCTTCCCACACCAGTAACTCCTCTTGAACCCTCCCTGAAAAGCACATGGCCTTAGAGGGAAAGCACTCCGTGAAAACAGACTTGGAGAATACCCACAGAAGAGAGGATGAGAGCAGTGGGATGGCTGTCAGGCACTGAGGAGGTGGGAGAGAGCAGGAGTTAGGAGGACGCGGGACCCCGCTGGTCCGATGCTGTCTCCATCTCTGACAAGACCAGTGGTTCAGGGCACATATCAGTTTCCCATCTGTAAGATTTTATATATATAATTATATACATATATATCTCCACACAGGCTGAATCTCACAGAATAATGCCTGTGAGTGAAGTCTAAAAAGATTATATAATACAAAAATGAACACACTGTACAACAGTGATAGAAACTCAGCAGACACAACAGGAGCCAGATGCAAGGTGGTGGTACCTACCTCAGGCACAGAGTGCTGTCAGGTGGCAGGGCTGGGGCAGGATATCTGCTGGCAGTTTCAGGTGATAAAGTGAGACTCCCTCCCTTCCTTCCTCCCAGATGTCTGAACTCCACCCCACTCTACTCCACCCTCACCATCCAGACACTATCTGGTGGCCTTGGGGGGCCAGTGAGCAGTGTCTGTCCAGGAACCCTTGAGGCTGGTGCCCAAAAGCAAAGTCACCCCTGGAGAATAGAGCAGCAAATCTGGGGTCTCAGCATCTAGGTTCTAGCCTTGGCTTGCTGACTCTGAGGAGAACCCTTTTTCTTCAAATGCCTCCATGTCCTGATGGAAAGTTGGTATGGCAACCCCTACCCTGCAGGTCAGGCAGGATGACAGTGAGATGGTCACAGCATTCTCAGCCCTGTTGCCCTTGGCAACCAGGAGCTGCAGGCAGCAAATGAGAAGCCTAGGTGCCCCTTCCAGTTTTGCCTGACCGACGCCCAGACTCAGTTTCCCCATTCTACGATCCTGCACAAATAACCCTGCTATCCTTGTGTGTCTCGTGTGCATTTAGCTCAGGGTTACCTTCACAACCTTTACCTTCCTCCACCCTCGGCCTGGCTACATGGCCCTCCCTGCAGTACTTACTTGCCTGTGCCATTGGCCACAGAGTGTCATGTCTGCAAGGGACTTATGACCATGTGAACCTGGGCTTCTTAGTTCTTGCTGTTGCCCCTGCCTGGCTCAGTGCCTAGGACAACTGAATGAAAGGATGGATGGACCTACTTCCAGAAGGGGACTGTGTGGCCAGTGAGGAGGGGGGTCACAGTACTTGCAACGCCACAGACTGAGAAGCCTCCTGAAGCTCTCAAAAGGTGGGACTACAGTACCAGTACCAGCCGGCCTTAGATGAACAGCACCTGAAAGGGGGAGTGAGGATTGAAAGAAAAACAAGAGACAGAAAAGATACTTGGGAGGACTGTCAGTAGAGACTACAGCCCCAGTTTATTTCAGCTCAGCCTTCTTATACAGCAGAACATCAGATAACCACAGTTTGTTTTGCTCAATTAGCTTCAACAGCTGTATTTTCCCACCTTTATCTGAGGGTCAAGGAACGGTCAAATACTTGTTGTGAATTCCACCAATTAACCATCTTCCCTAAATTACCAGCACATTCCTCCTGACTTGACAGAACAATTCAATGCTTGTGTGTAAAACACAAACTCTTGAGTCAAGGTGAAAGGTCATAAAGTAAATAAGCAAGCCTGCCACAGCTCAATGGACATAATGGCCGTGCTTATATTAATAGCTCCCAACACTTCAGACACTGACTGCATGGGATTTAGGGTTGGGCAGCTGCTTCAAACAGGGTTTGCCTCAGTCACCAATAGGTGACATCTGCTAAGAACCCACATATGCCAGCTATGACAGACAGAGAGTATGCCACTGCTGGTCTCTAAAGGAGTCTGGAGCTCTGCTGCTCACCCTCTAATCCTGGCTTCCACCCCCAATCACCCACTGTTGCCAGAGTCAAGGGAGTCACCCAGACCAATGATTGAGACAGAAAAATGGCTCAAGGAGCTGGTGAGATGGCTCAGTGGGTAAAAGCACTTGCCCACACAAGCCTGACAACCTGCTTTCCAGCCCAGAAGACACAGGAAAAGTGAAGTCCCAAAAGTTGTCCTCTGACCTTCATGTATACACTATGGCATTCATATATATATACAATAATAAATAATATTTTTTTAAATGGCCAGAGAGGGTAAGGAACTCATCTGAGATCACAAAGGTGAGGTTGTCCCATTCCAGCTCCAAGCAGCTGCTCCTGAAAGCACTGAGTGGGTGGGAAGTGGGCGTGGCCACACTGCCCTCCCTTAGGGTCACCCAAGCACTAGGGCTTTCTGGGCTGTCTAGCTCTGGAAGCTGGCTAGGCCCCTAGAAGGTGGAGCAAGAGCCACAACAGGCATCCATTTCCTGGAGAGGCCAAGGACAAAGTTAAATGGGATCCAGGCCTCCCTCCTTAGCTTAGGGTCAGATGACTCATTAATTCTTCTCCCACACACACTCCCTCTGTCCTCTGAGCCAGGGACATAGGACCTCAGAGGCCCTCTTAACCTAAAATGTCCTTTCCCAGTGTCTCACCTGCAATACCCATGAGAAAACTTTGCCATGGGGTTCTGCCAGTGTTGGGTTAGCAAGACTCTGACAACAGGCAGTGTGGGGACTTTACAGAGTGCGTGCTCTGGACTGACACCATTTTCCTGGGGGAAGAGGGGCAGGCTGACAGGAGTTGAGCACTTAGGAAGAATACCTTTGAGGCAAAGAGGTGACGGCCCAGGGGACAGTGGGAGGCGCATGGACCTGACCAACCTCCCAGTCTGCCAATACATCAAAGGAGTTCAAACCACCTTGGAAGGACATCTACCCACCAGCTACACAGGATACAAGAGTAAGGTCACGCTGGCCTTCCCAGTGGTCTTCCACTCTGTGAGAGGTCAGAAAGGTTAGGCAGCTGACAGAAAGATCATGTTTGACAAACCCCTCTACCTGAGGTGTCACCCTTCCCACCTCTCCACAGAAACCCACCAGGAGCAGAGCTACTGTGACATGTCATGACAGAGTCGCCTTATTAAGGGGTGGTGAGGTAGTGGCATCTTTGGCCTCCTGAGGTCCCAGGCCACCCACCCTCTACTCCAACCACCCTCACTGCCCTCCTCCGCCTCCCTTGCTGCCCTGCAGAGGTGGGATGCAGAGCTGGCCGCCTTCGCCAAGGCCTATGCACAGAAGTGCATTTGGGGACACAACAAGGAGCGTGGGCGGCGTGGAGAGAACCTGTTCGCCATCACCGACGAGGGTGTGGACATGCCTCTGGCCATGGAGAACTGGCATCAGGAGCGTGAGCACTACAACCTCAGCACTGCCACCTGCGAGCCAGGCCAGATGTGCGGCCACTACACACAGGTGTGAGGCCTGGCAAGGGTGGGACAGGGTGCTGAGGGCAGGGCCTCCTTATGGGGGAAGAGCCACAAGTTCCACCCTTGGGTCAGGGCCTCCTGGTATTGGGCAGGGACATGCACGATGGGTGGGGTGGGCAGGCTGGGGTATCCAGTGATGTATGGAGCCAGTGTGGTGGGCAGGAGGGACTGGGGCCTCCAGGAGCTGGGTGGAGCCACGTGTGTGATGGGGGACACCCCTATGCCAGGGCAGGGACCTCTTGCTTCCAGGTCCCAGTCCTCAGAGCAACCTTGCTTTGGAATGGTGGGTGGGCACCTACACCTCCTTAGAGCCTTCTTAACAGCAGTTAGTGTATGGTCTAGGTCACTAACTACCTAGGCCAGTTTCATTTCACTCTCCAAAAAGTGGTGGGTGGGCACCTACACCTCCTTAGAGCCTTCTTAACAGCAGTTAGTGTACGGTCTAGGTCACTTAACTACCTAGGCCAGTTTCATTTCACTCTCCAAAAAGCCCATCTTGTAAGAACCTAGGTCACCCATTTCAGCCTCATGATGCGCAGAAGACAGGTGTCACAGAACCCCGGTTCATGGATCCAGTTGTCCCAGGCCACTGAACCCTGGGTGCTTCGAGACCCAAAATGTCCCCAAACGTTTCTGTCACTGTCACTCTTTTGACACTTTTCATGTCTAATTTGCTGTTTCTAATCTATCAGGCTGATAAAGCAAATACATAGACTCATATAAATTTTGTTTTAAAAAGAAATCTGAAAGCCAGGTGTAGCGGACCACACCTTTAATCCCAGCACAGGCAGGAGTTCGAAGCCAACAGGGGCTAGAGGGAGACCCTGTCTCAAAAAGACCCCCTCCCCCCCAAAAAAAACTGTGAAAGACGTGAAAGAGGGCCAGCAAGATGGCTCAGTGGGTAAAGGTGAAAAAGGGCCAGCCAGATGGCTCAGTGGGTAAAGGGGCTTGCTGCCAAATCTAACCACTCAAGTCTCATCCACAAGACTCACACAGTAGGAGGCGAGAACTGACTCCTGCAGATGGTCCTCTGATCTCTACATGTGTGCTGTGGCACTCATGCACCCACCACCACCACCACACACACAAAAGAAAAAAATTGTAAAAATCGAATTGTAAAAGGAAGGTTTCTTAGAGCCTTCTAACATTTCCTGCCTCTCCCAGGCCCCCTTATCACAAACTTCGCTGCAGTTTGAAAGTTCAGGCTTGCAAATAAGAGTGACTTTAGAGTTAGAGGAATTGTTTTCTCTTCCCAATGCTTATTGTACAAAGGATTAAATGAGAACCAAAGAAAACCCTATCTTCTTCCTGCCCACATTGCCCCCATCCATTTTTAATGCCTCTTTGGGGTGGTATTTTTAGCCCTAATCTTAAGGGAAGGAAATCCTCATAAGCATCCACCCAGGTTGGGAAGTTGTAGGGTCCTTACACCCTCCCTGCTGGAATATGTCCTTCTCACCCCTACCTTGCACACATGCTCCTGGAGGGACCTCTGCCAGTGCCCTGCATGAACACCGACCTGCCTGGCTGCTCCAGCTTTCTCTGACTGTGCAGTGTCATTTCTACCAGGGAAACACATCTGCTAGGCCCAGCTAAGGTCGACATACTCCTAACAACCTACAAAGCAAGAGAGGCCGGTGGTCTTGTCCCTATGTTGGGACACACAGTTTCTGTGGCTTTGGTTTTTCATACTTAGGACAGTTCTAATAGCCAAGGTACCCGAGTCTAGGTCTAGGAAGAAGCTGAACGAACAGATGGGAAAGGGGGTACCTGGCGATCTTGGGTGGATGGGGGAAGTTTCACCTTCAAAATAACGCCTTCTTTCTTGGACTTTTCTTGTGACTAAGATTCTACCATGTGAGATTCATTCACTTGCATTCATCCCTGGCTTAAAATTTGTGGTGCCATAGGCCTTTAGTGTCAGCACTCAGGAGGCTAGCCTGGTCTACATGGTGAGTTCCAGGTCAGCTTGGGCTACAGAGAACTGTGTCAAAAATGCCCTTTGATTCCAGCACTCAGGAGACAGAGACAGGTGGATCTTTGTGAGTTACAGACCAGCCTGGTCTACATAGCAAGTTCCAGGCCAGCTGGGGTTACAGAGAGACACTGTCTCAAAAAGACAAACAGACAAACAAACAAACAAACAAACAAACAATGTAAGGGGGTTGGAGAGGTGGCTCAGTGGTTAAGAGCACTGACTGCTCTTGCAGAAGACCCGGTTCAATTCCCAGCACCCACATGGCAGCTAAAAACCATCCTTAAACTCCAGTTCCAGGGGAATCTGATGCTCTCTTCTGACCTCCAAGGCATTGCACAACACAGGTGCACTTACACACATGCAGGCAATATACTCATACACATAAAATAAAAATAATATTAAAAAATAATGTAAGGACCTCTAGAGAGAGACCACAGAGAAAGCTCAGAATGGTATACCAAGGTCTGAAGCAGCAGCTTAAAGAGGAAAGAGGGGTGTGGTGACTTTGGTGCTTAACAGGAGAGTGGACACTGGTAGCCCTGTTAGGGACAAAGTCACCCCTGCCTCCAGCCCCCTGCTCAGTTTTGGGCCTGAAGCTAGGGATGTTCAAGGACCTGGATCATAAAGGCTTGTAGATGCTCTCCTCCCACTCACAGAAGGCTGGTGTAGATCTACACCTTGCTACACAGCCCAGGCCCAAGCTGCCAGGTCTGCCCTCCTTCAGGTGGTCTGGAGCAAGACAGAGAGGATTGGCTGTGGTTCCCACTTCTGTGAGAAGCTCCAGGGAGTGGAGGAGATCAACATCCAGTTGCTAGTGTGCAACTATGAACCCCCGTAAGTGCTGAGGGGAGGGGTGGCTGGGGTTGGGGAGGGCAGACCTGCGCACAGCCCAAGGAAGCTGGCAGAGGACGATGTGGGCCCTGTCCCTTCCGGCAACAGTGAAGGCCCCCATGGGGTTTTCTTTGGTTAGCCAGAGGGCAGGGGAATCAGGTCCCCAGAATGTTACTAGTAGGAGGAAGCACTTGAGGACAGACAAGCTATGCGGATGGGGAACGTGGGAACAGGTTGGAAGGACGCGCCCCGCCCCAAGCCCACCCTCACCTCCTGCAGGGGGAACGTGAAGGGGAAAAGGCCGTACCAGGAGGGGACTCCGTGCTCTCAGTGTCCCCCGGGCTACAGCTGCGAGAACTCCCTCTGCGGTGAGTTAGAGAGGGAGAGAGGGAGAGCTGGCCTGGGCAGGGCGAGGGCGACGCGGCTGGGAGGCCTGGAGCCTCTGGTGGGCCGCGGCCGCGGGGCAGGGAGGGGCCAACGGCGCGACCACCCGGGACCCTCTTCTGACCCAGTAGATCCAGCGGCCCCGACCCACCCCGGAAGGTTCAGGCGGGTGGGCGGACCTACACCCGTGGGCGTGGTCTAGTGTCGGATGGGCGGGGCCTACGGTGCGCAGGGCGCGTAGCAATTCGGAGTCTCGTCCAAGTAGGGAACTGGGTAGGAGCTAGCACAAACTTGGAGAAGGCGGTGGATGGAGTGCTGTCTGCAACAAGAATTGGCATCACCAGAGGGGCAGACTCGCTGCCCAGGAGCGAAGTTGGCGCCTCCTGGGGGGCCATCTGGCTGCGGTGGGTCCCGTTTGCAGCACTAATTCATTCCCTATCACACCAGAACCCACGAGAGGCCCGGAAGAGCCGCAGGATTCGCCTCAGCGGGTGACTGAGGTTCCATCCACCCAGGCAACTGAAGCCCCAGGCTCCAGGGAAAGCGGTACTACTTCCCTAGCAACAGAAAGGTCACATTTCTCCTTGGTAACAGAAGTCTCAGTCTCCCTGGCAACTGAGGCCCCGCCTGCTGTAGCAACAAAGGCCCCATCTTCCTTAGCAACGGAAGGTCCCTCTACCACAACAGAGGTTCCGCCTTCCCTGACCGCCGAGGTCCTCTCTATTTCCGCAACTCACAAGCAACTCTCATGGGATGAAGGGCCAAATAACTTCCCCACATCAACCCATGTTACTGCCCCCAAATCTACGGACAACGAAACCAGCAAGACAAGCGCCACCTCCATGATCCCAGAGAGATTTCTGTACCCCAAGATGTCCCTGGCAGGGACAGGAGAGTCCTTACCCCAGACCCAGGAGGAGAAAGAGGCAGAGGCCGAGCTGCCAGCTTCCAGGGAGCTCTCGGCTTCATTTCTTCCAGCCCAGGAGGACCACAGTGGGCTGCAGGCCTCCCTGGACCTCTCGGGGCACCTCGCCTCCAAGTTCCTACCCAATTTCCCCAGTGCCTCTGCCTCAGCTAATGCCACAGGTGGGCGCACCCTGGCCCTGCGGTCATCCTGGCCAGGTAAGGCCCGCAGCTCCTGCCTTCCGTCCTGGCTCCAGAATTCTGACATCCTAGCCTAGCCCCGAAGGTTGGGGCACGGTGGGGCATGCATGATCAGGAAGACGCTTCCCGCCTGCCCGCCGCCTGCACCCTGCATGGTGGGGTTGATGGGTAGTCAGAGCAGCTGTCTTCAGGCTGAGGCATAGCCCATCCTTTTTCAGGTGTAGAGGGTCCTGAAAAGCCTGGCTGGGAGACGACGGGGAACTCCGGTCATGCGTGGGGCCCTCTCAAGGGACTGCTGCTGCCGCCTGCCCTGCTGTTGGCTGGAGCCTTCTGAGGGGACGCGGCTCAAAGGCAAGGCCACAGCTTCTGACAGGTCGTGCTATCACCAGCAGCCCCAACCCCTGGCTTTCCCTCAGGAGCTTCCAATACCACCCCAGGAATACTGCTTTCACAGGGGAGGGCTGCCCCTCAGACGGCTGTTTTCGTGTCCGCATGTGCCTGGTCTAACAACAGAGGACCTTGGCTCCCCGGGACCTTCTTGGCCCCTTCCAGTTCCTTGGGCTCCTCCTTGAGCAGTGTTGAGTCCAGGGCTGTCCGCAGCAGTGCCTACTGCCTTCCTAGGGAGAAGAGGTCAGCTGCCCAACTCCGTGTCCTCCACGCTGTCCCAGCCCTCAAGATGTTCGCAGACGGCCCTCTGGAAGGGAAAGGCTGCAAGGCTCCAGCCTCATCAACAGCATCTGGGGCACAAGACCTTTGTGGGGCTGCCAGTTCATGACTGCACACCGCTGGACTCCTCAGCGCCCCTTCCAGTGAGGTGCGGCTGAGGTCCTGATTTGGGGGCTCACCTGCCCGCCCCACCTGGGGATGTCTGCCTCCATTGTTCTAGGGCTCCCGAGCTCCCTGAGTGCTCTTGCAACTGGAAGGGGAATTGTGAGGGGGAGGAGAAGGACAAGCCCCACCTGAATGGGGTTCTGTGTGTGGAGAGGTAGGGACCAGGCAGTCAGTGCAGCCTTGATTCCTGAATAAAGCCTGCCTGAGTGCCCAGTCTCCGTGCTTGCTGGGTAGAGGTGGAGGGCTGGGGGATCTGGCCCTGCCCACTCGTGCAACTCCTCCTTCCTCTTCCCACCCCTCTCCCCTAACACTACGAGCCATTCCTTTCCTTCCTGTGACCCTCTATCCCCACCCCCAGCCACAGGTGGCTGTGCTGGAAAGAGAAAGCAGAGAAGAGCAGAGGACAGAGCCACTGGGCTGACTCTCCCAGCCTCAGAAGTTACCAGTGGGGTCTGGGTGGCTTTGGAACTCAGAACATTTCCACGAGACTGCTGGTGCCCACGCATGTCCTGGCCACAGTTAAAAACTGGCAGGGCTTCCTTGGCCCCAGGTGCTTGTAGGCATACGGAGAAAGGGTCTGTAGTCTTAGCCTCCCCTCTGGGGATCAGAGCAGGTGGTCCAAAAGTGCCTTGGGCCAGGCAAAGGGCAGCAAGTGGGGACAAGTAGTGGAGGGAAGGTGGCTTGGATGTAGGGAGAGGTCAAAGCAGGAGGGCAGCAGGAGCAGGGCTCTGACCATGTGGGTAGGAACGTATACCAGGGTCAGATCCTCTTGTTTTGTCACCCAATTCTATAGCTATAACCCACAGAACACAAAAACCACTCATTTAATGTATACAACTCGTGGGTTTTAGTGCATTCACAGGGTTGTGTGACTATCACCACTACCAAGGTAGGCATTTTCACTGCCCCAAAGAAACACCCTGCCCTCTGGCACACCCTCCCTACTTCCATCCTCTCAGCCCAAAGTAACCACTCACCCGTTAATTTAAAAAAAAAAAAAAAGTGTATGAGTGTTTTGCCTGCATGGATGTAAATGCACTCATATATTTAGTGCCAAAGGAGGCCAGAAGAGGACGTCAGATCCCCTGGAACTGGAGTTACAGATGAATGTTAGTCACCATGTGGGTGCTGGGAACTGAACCCAGGCCCTCTGCAAGAGCAGCCAGTGCTCTTAACCGCTGAGCCAGCTCTCCAGCTCCACTGTTAGCTTTGTATATCCAGATGTCTAGTCAAATCTGTATTTTGTCTTTCTACAGTTGAGTTGTAATTCTTTTTTTTTTTTTTTTTTTTTTTTTTTTGGGCTTTTTGAGACAGGGTCTCCCTGTAGCCCCAGCTGTCCTGGAACTCACTATGTAGACCACACTGGCCTTGAACTCAGAGACCCGCCTGCCTCTACCTCCCGAGTGCTGGGATCAAAGGCGTGTGCCACCATGCCTGATGGAGTTGTAATTCTTTACATATTCTAAATCCAAGTCCTTTTCAGATGTTCCATTGGAATATTTTCTTCAGTTCTGTGGCTTGTCTTTGTAATTTTCATGAGGTCCTTTGGCTACAAAAATCTCTTAGGATAGTTTTATTCTTTAATCTGGGGAGGGGGGGGCACATATGATGTGTGTGCAGGTGCCTGCAGAGGCCAAAAGAGAACATCAAATCCCCTAAAGCTGGAGTTACAGGCAGTTGTGAGCAATCCAATGTGGGTACTAGGAACTGAACTCAGGTTCTCTGGAAAAGCAGCCAGTGCTCTTAACTGCTGAGCCATCTCTCCAGCCCCGGCGTCCAATTCTTTTATTGTACATTATTGCCCTTGACAGTGTACCTAGGAAGCTACTGCTACTCCTGTCCAATATTTGTTTCTATAAGTCTATGGTTTTTATACATATAGTTTTTTACATTTAAGTCTGCATCAATTTTTACTTTTTTTTTATGCTAAAGCATGTGTTACTTTTTTTTTTTTGGTCTTTTTGAGACAGGGTCTCCCTGTAGCCCCAGCTGTCTGGGAACTCACTATGTAGCCCGGGCGGCCCTTGAACTCACAGAGATCCGCCTGCCTCTGCCTCCTGAGTGCTAGGATTAAAGGCATGCACTACCACCCCTGGCCCCCATTTTTACTTTTATGTGACAAAAGATATGAGTCCATCCTCTTCTCCACGTGAATACCCCAGCACATACATATTTTCAGACAGGGCCTCATGGTATAGCCCAGGCTGGGCTAAAACTCACTTTGCAGACCAGGTTGGCCTCAAATTTAAAGAAACCCTCTTATCTCTGCAGACTTCCCAGTGCTGGGATTACAGGAGCAACCTCCCATGCCAGCCTACTAATCTTGATCACTGTAGTTTAGTATTTAAGTTTTGAAATCAGGGCATGAGAATCCTCCAACCTTGTGCTCTTTTAAAGACTGTTTTAGTTGGGCTGAGTCCTTTGAATTTCCATGTGAATTTTAGGATCAATTCAAGTTTCTCCTGAGATTTTTGAAGGGGACTGTGTAATTGGCTATTTTAACTTAAATTGTCCATGAACCTGGGATATTGTCCTATTTGAGTGGATGTCCATGTCTTGTTCCTGATCTTAAAAAGAATCTTAATTTTGGTGTTTGGGTTTTTTTTTGGTGTATTTTTGTGCATGTGTGGTATATATAGGTGTTCCTATATGCACATGTGAGCACAGGCATGTCGAGGCTAGAGGTCAACATCAGTTGCTATTTTATTATTTTTATTCTATGCGTGAGTGTTTTGCCTGCATGTATGTTAAGTGCACCTTTGTTGTGCAGTGCCCTAGGAGGTTGGAAGAGGGTGTTGGATCCCCTGGAACTAGAATTATGGACAGTTATTAGCTGCCGTGTGGGTACTTGGAACCAAATTCAGGTCCTTTGCAAGAGCAGCCATCTCTCCAGCCCCCCTCCACCTTATCTTTTGAGACAGGGTCTCTCACTGAAACTGTAGGCTAGCTGGCCAGTAAGCTTCCAGGATCTGTCTCTGCCCTACACACACAGACACACACACACATAAAACACACACCAGCACTGGGGTACATACACATATACACGCATCACTGCACCCAGCTTCTGTATGGGGATCCCCCGTGCTGTGGAGTGGCAGGCACTCACCGGCCGAGCCATCTCCCCAGCCCCAATAGTTTTTTTTTCACGGACACCATTTTGTCAGGCTGAGGAAGTTCCCCTTGGTTCCTAGTCTGTTGGAAGTTTTTAAAATATATATATTTTTTAGCCGGGTGTGGTGGTGTATGCCTTTAATCCCAGCACTCGGGAGGCAGAGGCAGGTGGATCTCTGTGAGTTCAAGGCCAGCCTGGTCTACATAGTGAGTTCCAGGACAGCTGGGGCTACAGGGAGACCCTGTCTCAAAAAGACCAAAAAAAAAAAAAAAAAACCTTTTATTTTCCTTTTAAATTTATTTTATGTGTAAGCGTGTATTGCCTGCATGTAGGTAAGTGCACCCTTGGCATGCAATGCCTGTGGAGGACAGAAGAGGGTGTCGGATCCCCTAGAACTGGAGTTACGGACAGTTGTTAGCTGCCATGTGGGTGCTGGGATTTAAACCCAGGTCTGCAAGAACAACCAGTGTTCTTAACCGCCGAGCCATCTCTCCAGCCCCTTATTCTTTACGTCTTGCACTACATGTGTAAGTGTACCCGTGTGGTGCAATGCCTGTGGAGGTCAGAAGGCGGCATTGGATCTCCTAGAACTGGAGTTACAGATGGTTGTTAGCTGTCATGTGGAACTGAACTCAGGTCCTCTGCAAGAGCAGGAGTGCTCTTAACTGCTGAGCCATCTCTCCAGGCCCTGTGTTGGAAGTTTCTATCATGAAAGGATGCTGACTTTTCTCAGAGGCATTTTCTGTGTTTATTGAGATAGTCATTTGGTTAGTGTTGGACATTAACTGATTGTAGATGTTAAACCAATTGCATTTCTGGGACAGCCCCTAGAGGGCCTATTTTCTTGAGTTACTGCTAGGTCTCTGGGTATTCTCTGGGCCAAGCTGAAACCACAGAGACCCAAACCTATCTTTCCTAGTTTTGCAGTGGCTCTATCTGACTCTTGCAAAGCAGGAGTATCTGCTAGCAGGCTGCAGGCCTGTTACACAAAAAAAGCCTGTCCAAGATAGAAGAAAGGGACCTGGCTAGGAAACACAGAACCCTTGGCTGCAACAAATGGGCTGGTAGCCATGAGATGGGCAGGGAGAGAACATGTCAGCAAGGCATGCAATGACAGAAGGTGTTCAACAGAGGGCAGAGGGGCTGGCGCTCAGAGGTCAAGGACCAGAGTGGGGAAGGGTCTCCACCCACGCTACCCGCTTCCAGGCACCTGAGGGCTGGGTCTCCATCCACACTACCCGCTTCCAGGCAACCTGAGCGCTGGCAGGAGAGAGGACTACTGAAGGGAGCAGCACAGGCTACCGCTGCCTCAGGCTTCATTATGAGGGATCCCTGCAGGCCTGTCAGAGGCCTAACTTGGTTTTCCAGGTTTCCCAGGAGAGGAAGGTCACTGCCCTCCCCCGAAAGGACAGCCCACTCCTGCCACCTGTCCTTGTAGGCAGCTCAGCTCCCCTCCTGTTCAAGCCCACCAAACCTCCTTTCTCAGATAAAGGCGGGCTCTAGTTTCCAGGACCAGCAGGGTACCCCAGCATGGTATCTGGAAACAGCAAGGGCTCTTCCTTGAGCTGAATGGCCAGGCCAACCAAACCCTGCTCAGCTCAGGCAGCCTCTTCCAAACATTTGGGAGGATGGGGCTCAGTCATGTCACTGCTCAGGCTTGAAATACAAGTGTCCCAAACACAGAGTAAAACCCCGAGGATGGAGGAAAACTCGACCTGGCCACACCGCTCACCGCAGGCTGGCAGCCCACAGCCCAGGGGGCTGACAAAGCTCACAGAAGTAAGAGGTTCCCCACAAAACTCCAAATCACCACCAATACATTTATTAGAGATGGGGTCAAATGTTACCATGAGCTTTACACTAGGGAGGACTAGACACTGGCCTGCCTGACCTGTGCGTTTTCACATACCTGTGCGTTTTCACATACCGCACTGGTGACAGATCCCACACACTTAGCATCACCATTACACAGACAAGGTGAGGGGACATTTTGAGTCACATGATTTCTCAATCAGAAGGCAGCACTGCCCTCGTATCAGAAAAGTAGTGTTGAGGAAACTGAAGGCAGAGCCCGGCACCAGCCTTCCAGCATGGCCCAGCATGACAGCCTCAGGAAGGGGACACGCCCTATTCACAAAGCAGGGGCGCTGCTCCCAGCCGAGCTGCAGAAGATCTGTGCTGGGGATGGAGGGTCTGACCCCCAAAAGCCTTGCCTCCAGAGCCTTTCTCTGCCCTCTCACAAGGTAGACTCAAGCATACCTGGGAAGGAAGGCAATTCTACCCACCCCCAGCTTCCCCAGCTCTAGTAGGTAACCCACCCCCACCAGCCCCACATCTGGACAAACACTTGGCAAATATGGACATAAAGCCAGGCTGAGTTGGAGTCGCCCTCAAGTATCTGAGATGATGGGTCCTCAGCAGGGCCAGGCCAAGACCCCATAAAGGTTTGGTCAGGTGACTTACTCCAGGGCGAAGCAGGACCCCGATGATACCCGGCGGAAAAGCAGGCTAGAGCCACGGAAGAGCTGCCCCTGGAGGGGAAGAATGAGAGCCAGTGAAAGGGAGGAAATGAGCTCAAAGGCCCAGGGTCAAGGATGGAGTCCAAGGCTAGAACCCTAAAGACCAAGGGCAGAATTTGCCTGTGCTACCCAGGCCTGGTAGCTCAGACGGAATCCCAGCTCCCAGGCTGCTGAGGCAGAGACTGCAAGTTCAGGATCTGTCCGGGCTACAAAGCACTTCATGGCCAGCCTGGGCAACTTAGTAAGACCCTGTCTAAAAAGAACAAGTAAAAAGAGGGCTGGTAGTGCAGTGTTAGAGCACTTGCCTAGCATGCATGAGACCCTAGGTTCAAAAACAATGTAAGAGTCCGGGTATGGGAAAGAAGGAAGCTGTGCATTTCATGTTGGGGTGCCTATGGAGCTACCCCACAGGAAACCCCCAAAGAGGAGAATCAGTGCTGTTCTGCTTTCAGAGTCCAAGACCCAGGGGGAGGCTGAGATACACATGGTCTGACTAGAGGTGCTAGAGAGTTTCTTTGTGTCGCTATCCCTGCCCCCAGAAAAGCTACTTTTATATTTATTACTGTGCATATGATGGGGTGGGCCGCATGTGTGAGGGCAACGTGGAGGGGCCGACTTTGTGCATATGGTGGGGTGGGTGCATGTGTGAGGGCAATGTGGAGGGGACAACTTTGTGCATACAGTGGGATGGGCGCATGTGTGAGGGCAACGTGGAGGGGCCGACTTTGTGCATATGGTGGGGTGGGCACGTGTGAGGGCAACATGGGGGGATGACTTTGTGGAGTTGGGTCTCTCTTCCACCTTCATGTTGGGCCTGGGAATCAGATTGTCAGGTTTGCACAGCAAGTTCTTTTATCCAGAGCCCCCTCCCACACCCCATTCGACCTATTCTCAACCTAGAGGCTGCTCGGCACTCTGGCTCCTCTCCAGCCAGTACCTTTTTGGACCAGAGACAAACCAGGAAAAGGCAAGCACCTACCCCTAGCCATGAGCCTGGTCCCCAGCCCAAGAGCTGCAGCTGGCTGGAGGCCTCCCCACAGAGCCCAGAACCCATGGCTGTCCCTGCCAGCCTTCTCACCAGATGTAGCTGTACCATGAGCATCGCTCACAGACACCCATGTTACTGGCAGAGTGAGCTCTTGGGCTCTGCCACCTGTCACAAGGGCCACACCTCCAAAGGAGCCTTGATCGGAAGTATAATTTTTGTCTATTGATTTTGTTTAATTTTAGAGGGTTTCACTATGTTGCCCAGGCCTCAAATTTGAGGCTCAAGCCTGTCCGCTCAGCCTAAGGAGACAGGACTACAGGCTTGTACCAACACACCTACTTCTGATATAGAATTTAAAAATAAACTTTGACTTAGTATCTCACAGCCTTTCTGACCACTGTCAACCCCCCCTGGTCCCCATCCTCCCTTGCCAAGAGCCCTCCCACCCCCAGCCTGCTCACCTGCATGCTCAGGTACTTCCAGCAATGGATCCAGGACTTGAACACAGGGGAGTAAGGGGGGAGCCCAGCCTGCAACCTGTAGAAGTCCCAGAGGTCCTTAGATTGCCAATAGAGTACCTCGGGGACTGCCTAGAGCCATGCCCTGAGCCCACCCTCACACCAGACTCATCAGTCACCAGGGACTTGGTGATTCCTGGAGAAATTATGTGTAGGGGAGACTACACACAAGTTGAGAGGCAGCAGAGGGGCTGGAGGGGCTCTTCTGGGGTTCCAGCAGCCTCACAGCAGGGGCCAGTGGAGGGGCGCACACATACCCACAGTTGTTCACAGCCATGAGATCGCCAACAAGCAGGAAGGGGTAGGTCAGCATGCTCACCGCAATCTGAAAGGCAGACGGGCCTCAGTGCTAGAGGTCACTTCTCACCAGCCTCAGGGAGCCATACCACCCACCAGGATCTGTCTACCCAGGCCCACAGGGCATCAGGTGTGACTCACCCCCATCACAAACTTGGTGTAGCTACGGATGGCCAGGGCCTGGCTGAACTGGAGAGAGAAAGAAGCAGTTTGTCACAAGTACTTCAGGGGCAGACTTCTGTGGCACCCTGCCTACCTCATCTCTCCCTCCACACCGTTTCCAGGCTAGCTGCTTCTGTGGGACAAAAGCTGGGAGACAGAAGCAGGCCAGCTGGGCTAAAGGGACTTGTGAGGGAGTCTGGGGAGGCAGACTCATTGTGGGCAGCAACCCCACGGGCCTGGGTGCTCCAAAGGGTGGCCCACATATGCCTGATGGCTGCCCTAGCTTGGCATGGTTGTAGCTTGTTGAAGGATTCCCAAATGAAAAGACCTGAACTTCCACAAAGTTTGACTTTTCCCAGGAAACAGCCCCTCACTAGGAAAGGTGACAGCCTGTCCCTCAGCATCTTGGGAGATGGCCATCCCACCTCAGGGACGCCCAGAGCCCCAGGCAGAAGACACCCTCAGTTCTGCCTGGTTGGCTTGGCAGGCCTGGCAGCTTCTCCTAACCCAGAAGTCCTCAGAGAAAACACCCTCTATGCCACGGCTGACTGCTGCGGCAGCAAAGGTATGTGAGCAACCCCCAGGCAGAGCAAGGCACCACCTGTCCACCCTTGCTCTGTATGTAATGGCAGTAAGGCCCCCGAGGAAGGGCAGGGCTGTAGGTGTGTTTCACTGTCACTGCAGGCGAGGAGGACCTCTACGAAGCCACTCTTAATTTGTTGACACTAAAGTCCAGTGAAGATCAAGTCACAGAGTCAACAGTCTCCCTGTGAGCAGGGCTTACTTCTAAGGATACTCCCACCCCCAGAGTTGCCAGCCTGAGCCAACAGACACATGCAGACCATGACCCTCCCCACCTGGCACTAGACACCCTTACCTAGCCTTCCAGGACTGACTACCCCTGTGTTAGGGCTTTTGGGAAGCCCAGCCCTTCATGAGTTCCTAATTCTTATCATGGCCCAGCAGAACCCATCAAACCATCATGCTTAGCCTGACCCATTAGGTGAGGTCTATAGACCCCAGGCTGTGCACATGAGAGCAGCCAAAGCTGGCTGAGACCAGATGGCACACAGCCTGGCCCATCTGGAAAACTTGGGGTGGGGGTGGGGGGTGCAGCACGCCTTTTAGCCCAGCACAGGGAGAGACTTATTTGCACCCTATTGGTTTCCAGCAGGTCACTGTGGGGGCTGTTTAGCCTGTGACTAGGATATCATACACACTCTGTCTCCCTTGACACTCTGCTGTCAGGACCAAAGGTTGTGATGCTCACAAAAGGGAGCTGTAGATTATATTGGTTTTGAGACCAGAGTCTCCATATGTAGCCCAGGCTGGTCTTGAACACATAATCCTCCTGCCTTAGCCTCCCAAGTGTTAGGATTACATGTCTGGCCACAGAGAGTTTTACAAGCACAAACTATGAAGGCTAAAAAATTGTAGCACTTAGCTGCTCTTGCTCCTGATTTCCTGAGTAGTCTCAGATATGCTGGGGCCTGCAGGTCAGACATTCCTTAACTTCCTCCTAGGCAGGACTGCAATATGTAATCTCATGTCCCCAGCTCCAGGGACAATTAGGGATTCCCTCTCACCCCTGGGGAAAGCCTGTCCCAACCCTGGGCATCAGAACACAGAAAGAAGGACAAGTCCTTGTTCCAACCAACCTGGGAACCTGGATTCTGGTCGTTCCCCAGCCCCCCTGGGGTGTCACTCACGCTGTCATCCACCAGGTAGGCATTGATGAAGTGGGCCAGCAGGTTACAGCCCCACAAGAAAACCACATCGCCCAGGAGGTGAGGGATTAAGCCACTAAAAAAACAAGGTGAGCAGAGATGAGCAGGGAGGTAGCAAAGTGGGCTCCACACCCAGAAGGCAGCCAAGGATGCACAAGCCCGCACCTGCAGAACACCAAGGCCCAGCCTCAGGAAGGGAGCCAGGAAAGAGCAGCAGGGCCGAGGCAGTGGTCCTCCCACAAGAAGGTGTCAGGTGCCACAAACTAGTTAGTGGTGTCACAAGCAGTTTTCAATCTGCAGAAGCCCAGCATCCTAGTGTGAGTATTACCACATCTGGGACTTTCAAGTACAGAGTGTCTGGTGGCTGGCAGAGGCTCCTGGTCATCACCTGACCAACTCTCACTGAACTGCTCAATGACCCTTGTGCCCTTCCCTGGAACGTCCCACTACAACATGCCACACAAGTGTTTGCAAGGAGAGCCACACTGCATAGTGATGGCCTCAGGGGAAACCACTCTAAAGTCTGTTCAGAAAGCTCTCTAAGATAGTGCTAAGAAAGGCAAGCCCATTTGAGCCCATGGGGTTCCATGGCCACTTGTGTTTTAACCGTGCTTATTTGCTTGTGTGGTGTGGAGAGTCTTGGCTCTCTGGAGGAATGGCTGTCCCTTGGGAAGGGAAGAATTATTTTTGTTTTGTTTTTTAAGAGAGAGTCTCACTATGCAGGCCCTGGCTGGCCTGGAACTTACTATGTAGACTAGGCTAGCCTCAAACTCACAGAGACCTACCTGCCTCTACCTCCCAAGTGCTGGGACTAAAGGTGTGTGCTACTATGCCTGACCAACAGGGTAATTTTTCAATTTTTCAATTTTTTTTTTTTTTTTTGGTCTTTTTGAGACGGGGTCTCCCTGTAGCCCCAGCTGTCCCGGAACTCACTATGAGACCAGACTGGCCTTGAAATTTACAAGACATGCATACTGACACACTCCTGTAATTCCAGCACTTGGCAGAGGCATACAGATCTCTGTGACATCGAAGCCAGCCTGGTCTACATAGTGAGTTCCAGGCCAGCTGAGCCTGTCTCAAAAAAACTAAAAAAAAACTAACTAACTAAATAAATAAATTTTATTACAAGGCTGGAAAGGTGCCTCAGTGGTTAAGAGTGATTACTGCTCTTACAGAGAATCTGGGTTCAGTTCCCAACACACACATGGTGGATCATAACTACCTCTAACTCCAGTTCCAGGGACTCCAACACCCTCCTCTATCCTCTGCAGACTCCTCCACATACATGGTGCACCTAAACTCACAGGCACACACATACACACATAAAAAGAAAAACTTTTTAAAAAATCTTATTATAAACTATTTGAAAGTTCAAGAGAGTGTATGTAACATGTCTATCAACTGAAACCTTGGGGGATGCAGCTTCCTTCCTGTCTGGTACTTTCTGAACATATATGCATTCCTATTCCAAAATCACATGGGGGGTGGGAGCACCCCAAAGATAAGCATCTGCTGGGTGGGATCCTAATCGCAGAGCTACAGAACTGCCCATGTGAACAGGCCAGAGGTGAGCAGGCACATTGCTGGGCAGTATCAAGGTCTGATGCCCAGGTACACAAATGCATAGTCTTATACCAGCATGCAAGTGTGTAAAGAGATCAGGGCTTCGCAGCCTTGGCTCTATGGCCATTTGGAGCTGAGTAGCACCTTGCTGCAGGTCTGTCCTCTGTACCGGAGTGTTCAGCAGCAGCTGGGCCTCTGTTACATACCAATTCTGAATACCACAAGATACCTCCAAACATTGCCAGTGTCCCTGGGGAGCAATATCCCCTCCTATTCACACACACACACACACACACACATGAATACGCGCCTATTCCAAGTCACTTCTTGATTGAAAAGGGAAAACAAAAACCATTTGACAAACTAGAAAAAACTAGTTAATAAAAAGCCCAATACCCAGAATGCTGTGCACTAACGGCCCTGTCACCATTCAGACCTTAGACAGGAAACACAACAAACCTACTTGCCAACCCTGGATTCTTGGTTGTCTGACATTTATTCAAACTTTATTTTTTCTTAGCTTTCTTTATGGGTAAAGTAAGCTAGACATGAGACCACCCAGCATGCAGGGTGTGTGGCCATCAGGAGACCTCTGGGCCTCAGCCAATGGCCTCTCTGCAAAAATACAGGCCTAGAAGGGTCAGATTTTCTGGTTTATCAAGAGAAGTCAGAAACAGGCATTTCTGTGTGAAGCATCTGAACATTAAATGTTCACTGGGTCGTCAGGCCAGTCCGCTGGCTAGAGGCAGCCTGTGCACTGCCAATGCTCAACCGGCAGTCCAAGTCACAGCTTTCCAGTCCCTTTGAGCAGCCAGGCCAAGGACTATGCAGTGCCCCAGGGTCCTGAAGACTTGCAACCCTAGGGAAATGGATGAACTTGGCTGGCTCATCTCCCCAGACAACAGTTTCCATGTGTGTAGTGCTGGAAGTAGAGCCCAGAGCCTCACACATGCTAAGCACACACTCTGCCACTGAGCTACACACCCCATCTAGGTCCATTTGCATGTGGGCTATGAACTGAAAGAGCTGGGCAACTCTGGTCCCCACATGCTATGAAGTGCAGCAGAGTTTGGTGGCAGCCACATGGCCTGGGGCACAGCCTGTGGTTAAAAGAGGGCGGCAACCGTGGCCCAAGAGCCTGAGAGCATGTCTGTTAGTGAAGCCACATCTGGCTGTTACAGGGTGTATAAACTCACGTACACAAAGAAGCCCAGTAGCCCCTCTTCCTTGAAAATCTTCCCGATGGAGCTCAGCACGCCGCTGGGATGGAGGAAAAGACGGAGTCATGGTTACCTGGTTGCCCGATAGAAGCCCAACCCTGAACCTTGCTCAGGTCCAGCAGATGCTGGCCAGAATGGAAAAAGAGTCTGCCACCAGGAATAACCCAAGGAGAAAGGAGACAGGTTTCCTTGGGGTGGGGTGAATTTACACCATTCATAGAGCCCAGGCTTCAAAAACCCACAGGGAAGACCTGGCAGGCTCTCCCGTTGATCTCTGTGGGATCTGGATCTAGGGCCACAGGGCCCTGTGCCTGGCCCTAACTCTCATCTCTGGCCAAGTATGCTCTCACCAGTGAGAACAGGAAGGGGCACAGAGCAGAAAGGACCACAAGGGACACTGCAGCCAGAAGTCCTTGGATCAGCCCAGGAAAAGGCACCTGGCCTCCTAGAGAGCGAGCCCTGTCATGCAGCCTGCTAGAAATGAGGGGGCACTGTGGTGCGCTGGCTCATGATAACCAGCTCTGTGCCGGGTATGGTGGTGCATGCCTTTAATCCCAGCACTTGGGAGGCAGAGGCAGGCGGATCTCTGTGAGTTCAAACCAGCCTGGTAGACACAGTAAGTTCCAGGCCACCTGAGGCCTGTCTCAGAAAGACCAAAAAAGCCGGGCTTGGTGGTGCAGACCTGTAGTCCCAGCACTCGTGAGGCAGAGGCAGGCAGATCTCTGCGAGTTCAAGGCCAGCCTGGTCTACATAGTGAGTTCCAGGACAGCTGGGGATACCGAGAGACCCTGTCTCAAAAAGACAAAAAAAAAAAAAAAAGAGATAATCAACTCTGTCTGTGATCTGTAGCTGGGAAGGTCAGTGGCCCTGCACAGAGGCCTACAAAGCCCAGGAGGAAGCAGCAGGCCACAACTGGCTAGAGTTGGTCCTGGGCTCCTAGCCCCACCCTGCCCCAGTGCTGTTCTCACAGCAGTGGCTTGGTCCTCTAGGGTTGCAGCCAAGCTATCACCTCAGGTTCCTTACCAACCTCACGTCAATCTAGAACAGGCCACTTCCACGAGTGAACCCAAAGCAGCCTTCCTGGAGTAATGACCCCATAGGACAGACTCCAAAAACAACTGAGACCAGGAAGTGAGAATGGGAGAGGATGTGCTAAGTTCACATGGCTCCAGGGATCTATCTCCTGTCCCCAGTGGCACTTCCAGGGCAGGAAGAACGGAAGTGCCTTACTGAGCAGGGGACCACGGCCCCTTTCCCAGCCGAGGACAAGAACCCCAAGCCCACAACTAGACATGTTCTCAGCAGCATGTGACCTGAGTAACGAGCTAGAAAAATCCAGAGGTTCAGGAGGGGACCCCAGCTCACACCACCTAAGGCAAGCAGATCCCAACAGAGGTGATCAAGGCTCTGCAAGAAACCGAGACTGAACTAGAGGAGCCCAGTGAGGGAGTGAGAAGAGAAAACACCCCTAGGAATGAAGCCACCAGCACATTCCTCTGAATTGAGGCAGCGACCAGTGTTCAGAAAAAGTACAGAGACCGAGCTTGGCCCAGCCCGGCAGCCAGTGCAGGAATTACCCACCTGTACTTGGCCTCCCGTCCCACAAACTGGACCATGCAGCGCATTGAGATGACTGAGGAAAGAGAAAACGCAGAGATGACTGATAGATAAAAAAGAAGCCATATGACAAACAGGGTTGATCAGGAGGAAGCACCAGGACACAGATAAAACTCCATCAAAATAGGGTTTATTAGCAAAGGAACACATGGGACAGAGTTCCTTCCGGGCAGGGAAAATGTCTGCCCAGGTCTTGAACTGGGGTCTTTTAAAAGGGAGGCTTCTGCCTCCTACAGAAGGAGGGAAGATGTATTTTTTTAAAGTTAGATGAGGGGGAAGTGGGAGAGTGGGACTGTTAAAACCTGTCCTCTTTAGAGATCAAAGGGGAAGCCTGCTGTGTTGGCCAAACAGTGGAGAAAAGTCTGCTCCTCTTGACTTCAAAGACCAAGGTGCTTATCAGCTAGGTTCCCTTTTCTCAGGAGCATGAGAAGTTCTTGGGATCCTGTTGGTGAGGGGGCAGGGCCATCTGAACCTTAACAGTGACCTGTAGGGCCAAAGCCTAGGGCACCCTAGCCCTGAAGTGTGCCAGAGCCTGGTGGCCTCTGTACCACACAGCCTATGTTGGAGCATGGGAAGGAGGGTCTCTGATCCCTTCACTGCATCACTTCTGCCTGGGTGGGAAGCAAACCAACCACCTTTGGAATGGACTCCCAGCCAGGCTCCCAACACCCCTGCCACTTCCCGGTCATCTACCACTGCATATGGGCAGCCTGGAAGGGGCCAGTCCACTCCGATCCACCCATACTGCAGTGCGGCTTAGCTGCAGTGTCCAGCTCACCGTGCAGTGGGTGGGCCAGCATGCGTGACACACACTGCATCATCATCTCGTAGGATGTCTGCAAGACAGGAGGATGGAGATATGCCATCAGGCCTGGTACCTAGGGGGATCTAGCTACAAGCCCACATGGGGAAAGTTGGGATTCATTCCTCAGGCCTCGCAGTGTGTTGGTATACCAAGGAACCTACTATGGGAATCTACCCATTCCCACATTCGTACACTCTGCCCCAGGGATCCTGCCATCTGGGCCTAGAGCAACTGGGAAGGTTTGGGGGGTGGGGCAGAGTTCCCTGCAGTGTCTGGCTATACCAACCCAACTGGGGATGAGAAACACCTCAGGTTCCAGTTCAAGGGCCTGCCCTCTCCAATCCTTGACACCCACCTCCTTCACGACTTTCTTCAGAGAAGTCTTCATGTCATCCTTGTTGGAAACCTGCTCGATCTCATCTGGAGGGAAAACCTGACCCACAAACACAAAGTTGAGGTGGGGGGCCAAAGCCAAACTGAGCCAAAAGGACCTAGGGACTGTGGCTGTTAGCTGGACCATGTCAGTAATCCTTAGGCCTGCTGTATCAGGTAGGAGAGCCATCATCATAGCTGCCAGAGCCGTGGGAGAGCAGGACTGTGGGCACAGGTCCTTCCAAGCATAAGGCCAGAGGCCTGACCAACGGGGACCTAGAGCCAGGCCATGTGCTGGGGTCCTGAGGGGGAAGTGGGACCAGAGCCCATCGGATGCACCGCTAGCAGCAGCTGGATCTTGGGGAACCCTGGGCCAGGCCCAAGCTCACCTTCTTCATGCTGCCCCGGGTCACGGTGGACAGGGCGTTGGACATGAGGCGGGGGCTCAGGCCCCGGAACAGCCCTATCTTCCCATCCACCTGCACAATGTACTTGGCTGTAAGGAAGCAAAAGGGAGTGGTGTCACACCAGCCCAGGGACACCCACTGCTGGACCACACGCCCAGACCAGACGCAGCTCGTCTCCCAAGCACTGCTGACTATGGCTGGGGGGGACTGCCTCCAGGACGTGACGCAGGCCAGCTCTGATCCTAAGTGTCTCTTTCGGTCAAACATTCCAACATTCTTCTGACAGAGAAGCTCATATTCTTTCTTTCCTGTTTGTTCTTTCTTTCCCTTAGCTTTGAAAACTTCAGCTTGGCAACCTCAGCTGTTGTTTCTCAACTCAGCAACTGGAGTGCTGTAATCCAAAACCAATTTCAGCTGCTTATGAAGTGTTGAGGGGGGTAGAGTTCCCACAGGCAGTGATGACTTTTGCAACGTCAGGGAAAGGGAAAGGAAGGAAGGGGACGCGTTCGGTCTCTGTGAGGACAGGCCCAGGAACATTCGCAGGCACGCTATGGCCAGGACAGCCCCAGCCCTGTTACTATGCTACATTACACCCAGGGCGCCACCTGGCACCTGCTGGCTCTTGTTAGTAACAGAAAGTCACGCCTGTGGAGAAGCACCTGAAATGGTGACAAGTGAGTGCGGGAGACCCCGGGCAGTCAGGATCCGAGCTGGCCTCCGAGCAGTGCTTTCATGATGGGCCCTCCTTTTATCAGACTTCCTGTCCCACTGCTGTATTTCACATCCAGTATGTAACATGCAACATCTGACACCTCACACTCTTTATCTTACACTTAACCATGTTCAAGGTGATACGTTTTGGCTGGAAGCCAGTAGAATGTTCTCTCAGTGTGCTCCCCTTTCAGACCCATGATGTCAGCTCTCTGGCACCGCACACAGGCGAGGCAGCACGTGTGCCCTTTTCTCCTCTGCCAGCCAGGCAGCTCCAGTCCAGGTCACACTCTGTAAGGGCTTCCAGGGGCAGAGCAGTGCACCTGTTACTGCACAGTGGTTTCCAGAGGTAGGTGGGCGGAGCAAAGAGGAGACCAGTGACTCCAGATTGTCAGACAGGAGGGTTTGTGGGGTGAGGGACACAGGCAGAGCTTCAGTGTGGGGTCCAGAACAATCCTTGACCTTCTGGATCTGCCCACCAGCAGAGGATGAAGCCTCTACTTGGCTATGACCTGAGAAAGGAGAGGCAACCCCTCCTGGGCTGCCCTGCTCCGGTATTCCAGGCCTTCCCTGAAAGGCCTCAAACACTCAGGGATCCCTGCTGTTAGACCAGACAATGTCATCACAGCTGCAGGGCTCTGCATAGCAACCTGGAGAAGACAATGTCCAGACTATTCTAGACAACCAGACAGCCTGGCCCCTCCTGACTAGGGAGCAGCCAATGTCCAGACCTACCTGGCAGACATCTGCCCTCCACATCTGTTTATATAAACAGAGTGAGGGCACCTCAGAACCCAGCTCACTCCTGCAAGAGGCCCTTGGAGGTCAAGATGGCTCTACAATGTGAATAGACAGTTGAGGACTTGAGTCCCTCCTAACAGCATGTGTGGGTAGATCTGAGAAAGCCTACTGACTACATACCGGTGTTCATGATCTCTGTGTGCCGTCTTCCCTGTACAATGGAGTGGGGAACCTACGTCTATGATCCCCTGTTCCCCTATGCCACCAATCTTAAAACAAACACGAGCATATTTCCCCACAGAAGGGCTTATAGGCTCTGCAATCAAAACTGGAAAAGAAACCTGATCTGTGACCCAGCCAACAGTGTGTGAAGAAGGCAGTAGACTTAGAAAGGGTACATTTAAAGAAGGTGCCATCCATCACCTGGCAGGCTGGGAACTGGGAGAGGTACAGCTGTGGCTTGACAAGGCCCTGGCCAGCTGTCACCTGCAGGCCTGAGGAGAATACAGACAGACCTCCCCCACAGGGAGAGTCGCTGGGACAGGCGACTTGATGAGGGGCCTGGGCAGAAGCAGTGGACCTTTGTTTACACACAGAGCGCAGTGGGGCTGCAGCAAGCAACTCTCTGGTGGGAGCTTAAGAGGCAAGGCAGTTCTACAAACAGCGGACGGAGACACTGGCTGGAGCAGGTACCCCACCTGAATAAGGCAGGGAAACCAGTGAGTCCCTCCTATGGGGATCCATGATCCATGATCATGAGGTCCCCAGACCCACCCGCTGGGCCTCCGGCCAGGACAGCAGGAGGGCATCTGGTCCGAAGGAAAGCTCACCACCACCCCACTTCCAGGACCACTCTGGAATGGCAGAGATCACAGGGACCAGGGTCCTGCATGGTCCTTCCCTCAGGGACCTGCCTCTCCTATACTGTGTGGGCTATGTGTTCAGCTGCTTCTCCTACCTAACCCCCGACTGCCTCTGCCACTCTTAGGCCCCCTCCTTGGAGCAGGTGTGGGCTCTGGGTACCACTGGGTTCATCGGGGCTGGCTGGGCCTGCTGCTCTTTTCTATCCATGTGAGCCTAGAAGACACTCACCGTAGGTGAAGAAGCTCGGCAAGTAGAGGACCTTCCTCCCCAGCACATTGGTCCCAAGGGTGGGGGGCATCGGCTCATGACCCACCTTCAGATTCAACAGAGACAAAAGGAAGGTTGCATTTACCTCAGGCTGACCCCTCCCAGGCTCCACCTCCACCCACACGCTGAGGCTGTTCCATCTCCTTGGGAATCTCATCTGTGTCAGCCATCAGCATCTCGTCCCCTCCAACAGCAATGTCCCTAAGTTCACTGCAGCATCCTCACCCTTAATGCCTGGCAGTCCCAGTGCAGAAATACTTATTGTTTTGTTTTAATCTTTTTTATTGAGAGTGTTTTATTACATTTTATTTATTTATTTAGGGTCTGTAGGCTTGAGGACACCCGTGTGCCACAGCTCATGTGTGGAGATCAGAAGACAGCTTGTAGGGGTTGGTTCTCTCCTACCATGTGGGTCCTGGGGATCAAACACAGATCCTCAGGCTTGGCAATAGGTGCCTTTACCCACTGAGCCATCTCACTGGCCCAGAAACACCCACTAAAATTTTTTTTCACATGGTTGGAGAGATGGCTCAGTGTTAAGAGCACTGGCTACTTTTGTAGAAGACCTAGGTTTGGTTCCCAGCACATACATGGCAGCTAACACCCATCCCTAACTCCAGCACCAAAGGATTCAACATACTTTTCTGACCTCCACAGGCATATGGGTATACTTACATATACACAGGCAAAACACTCATAGACATAAAATAAAAATAAATTTAAAAATTTTTTTACAGTTATTGATTTATCTGCTATGTGCCATGGAACATATGTGGAGATCAGAGGACATCTTGTGTGAGTTGGTGTTCTCCTTCCACTGTGAGGGTTCTGGGAACTGAACTTAGGTCATGAAGCTTGGTGGCAAGCACCTTTACACACTGAGTCATCTCACCATCCCGAAACATCCGTTTTTAAAGTGCTTGGATCTCCATTCTCCTCTGAGAATAAATGGGTTAATTCTCATCTCCAGATCAAAACTTTATCGCAATCTAATCCCCAACATGGTGATGTCAAAACCCAGTGTCCTGAGGTCTCAGCTCATGCTGAAGCCAAGTCTGCTGCCACTTACCCCTGAGTTTCTCTAAGCCTACTGCAAACACCTCCCCACCTGTCCCTGCCAGTCCCAGACTGTCAGTGTGGCCTCAAACCACACTGTGCTCTAATCTCAATTACCCTGTGTCCTGGGGACAAAATGGCCCCCTCAATTCTGCATTATAACCCTCTGCCATACTGAGTTTCCATCTCACAAGTGGATATAATATGGGGGACTATGTCATCCTTAGCCATACAAGGCTCCAGTGGAAGGGACAGGGTGCTGAACCTTGTCAATCAATGGGAAACTCTACTCCCAACCAGAGAGGAGGGGTACAGACCAGAGCCTAGGTGTCAGTGAGGACAACTTCCAGCAGGGCGTGATGGCGCACGCCTTTAGTCCCAGCACTCAGGAGGCAGAGGCAAGCAAATCTCTGTGAGAGCGAAGCTAGCCTGGTCTACACAGCAAGTGCCAGGCAGGCTGTGGTTATGGGGAGACCTTGTCTCAAAAAGAAAAAAAGGGGGAGGAGGACACAGCGTGAGCAGTGCTCATGGGATGTGGCAGTGGACGAAGCCCGTGGGCTCCATTTCCTTGTCTTCACCTTAGTTAGGTAGGTCCTTTCTGAAAGTTCACATTGTTCCTCCTGGAGGTGACTCTAAGACACATTAAAGATTGCTGACTTTTTTTTTTTTTTTTTGGTCTTTTTGAGACAGGGTCTTCCTGTAGCCCCAGCTGTCTGAGAATTCACTATGTAGACTAGGCTGGCCTTGAACTCACAGAGATCCACCTGCCTCTGCCTCCCAAGTGCTGGGACTAAAGAAATTTTAAAATTTTTATTTATTATTATTATTGTGTGTGCGAACACCCATGGCACCTTGGGTATGGGGAGGTCAGAGGTCAACTACTAAGTCAGTTCTCTCCTGCCACCTTTATGTGGGTTCTGGGGATTCAACTCCTATCTTCAAGCCTGCACAGTAAGCACCCTATGTGCTGCTGAGCTGTACATAGACCCTAATTATAAATTATAAAAGCCCTATGAAGTCTTTAAAAAAACAAAAACAAAAAGAAGAAGAAAGAAACTCAAAAGAGCTGAGAGGAAAAGAAGGGTCAGGTGACCCAGGGAGTCAGCCTCCCCTTCTAGAGCTTTTCCTTTCTGGGTCAGGAGCTAGGCTCTGTCCTCTTGGATAGTGGGTGGTCCTATATGCCCTGAACATCAGGCAAGCAGGCCCTCATGCTGTCTTCCCTAGACTCCTCACTATAATCTGGGAGTCCCAATGACTCCAATCTCACCCTGAAGCCTGTGACTGTCTTATCCCACATCCTCATGGCTCCTAAATCCGTTGTGTCTATTAATGTTCCCTGGGTTATCAAAGGCACACTGCCCCTCAACTCCATTCCTCTCGGGCCCAAGTTGTAACTGTTGTTCCCAAGCCATACTCACCCAAATGCATTTCTATGTGTGTCGCCCCAGTCCTGACCACAGCCAACACTATTATGGTCCTGTATCTGGTATGGGCAGAGCCAGTCCACCATCTTAAAGTCTCCACACACACCCCCATCCCAACACTCACATATCCTGATTGAAGGTCCCACATTTTATTCCCTCAACCTAGACAACCCTCAGTCTAGCATTCTACCTCTGCTCCCTGCAAAAGATAGTCTGTCATTATTATTCGTTGCGGGGTTTTTAAAATTAGGTCTGTCATTAATATTAGTTTGAGGGGGGGATTGGTGCTCACAAAGGGCCAAATTCTCTCCGATACCAATGCTCTCTACAGCTGTAAATCCTAATCCTGTCAATATACACCCACATCACAGCCAAATGTCAGTGCTGGTCTCTGCCTTCCCCATGAGTCATCTCCAAACTTCAGCCATTCTCAATGCCCCTGACTAAATTGTCTCATTCCTTGTCATATTTCCGGTCAGACCCCAAACTCTAATACCCCCATTTCCCAGACCCCAGGCTCCAATGACTCCCCTTCTTAAGGTCCACTCATTCCCAACATATTTTGAATTCTCTCAGTTCAGTTACAAGGACAGCAAAATCTGATACTCACTTGCCTTAAATCAAACCTCAAATCTTAGCTGGGTCTCCATCTCAATTTTCACCTCCATACTCCACTCTTCCTGAACTGGAAAATTCTAGACTACATCTTCAGAGATAAGTCTGGGCCTGAACCATGCCCACAAAAAAAAACTGTCTCTACCTGCGTCACACCCACCAATGCCTGCCAACTGTCGTTGTCGCCACCCCCCCCTTTCCGGACCGCATTGCTGGCCACCACCAAATGCAATAGGTGCTCACCCAAGCATCCTTTTTAAATGCACACAAGCACATCATCTCTCCAATTTTGTAGTCTTTACCTATCCTGCCTGACCCACTGCCCATTCCCAATCTCCGCAGACACAACCACTGCGATTCCATTTCCTTCCTCCCCTAAATGCGTCATCCCCTTCCCCTCAAAGCCTCCTCCAAGGCTCTCCTCTCCAAACAGTCGCAGCCACGGCTCCACTCCCCCAATGCAGAGGCCCCTCCTCCCAGCAAATCTGTCGTCGCCATCAAATCCACAGCCCCGCTGCATTCTTTCCCTCCTAAATTTCAGGCCCGGGAGCCCACTCCTTTGTCCCTCAAAGCCGCTTTTTTTCTATCTCTACAATGCAGAGCCCCAAATATAACTCACCTTCTTAACACTTCGCCTACGTCTCTCCCGCAAACTTCTCAGCCCTTCCACAAATTTGTGGTTTCGTCCCTCTCCACATCCCAAACTCACCGCCTCCATCTCTTTACCTCCCACATCTGCCCGCACCCCAGATTTCTCCCTTTCCCACACCTGTCACTCACGTTCCCCCACCCCGCGCTGCTGCTCCCCTAGGCCCACTGCTGCACCCTCCAGGCCCGATGCAGCACCCTAGGCCCCATGCTGCAGCCCCAGCCCGACGCTGCATCCCCCAGGCCTGCCCCGACACCTCCCGGCGCCGCCCCCATCCCCGGCCTCACCTGGATCAGCAGCTTCACATAGAGCAGCGGGTGGCTGAGCGCGGTCACGCCCGCGCCCAGCGCCACGAACAGCGCCTCGGTGGTCGGGGCGTTGTCCCCTGAGCCCGGGCCCCCCGCGCCGCCGTCCATCCTGCGCGCCGTCGGCTGCGCCGCGGGCCGAGGG